GCGGGCCGGGCGAGGAGCGCTGTGGGGGGAGCGGTGCGCCTTCAGCGCGCCCCGGGATCCTCTGACTTCTCGCAAATTCATTTAACATCACAAAGGGATGCTTGGGTCCGCGACTTAACCTGAATGCTGTGGGAAATCTTAATAAATTATGTATGAAGCAGTGGGTCCTTTCTTTCCCTTTGTCAGATACGCAGCTTTCATTCTAGTAATTAGGTCATTGCCAGCAGAATGCTCCTTGCTTTTGCAAAAATCTGAGGCGATTTTTGGAGGACACGTATGCTGCCAAATTATTTCATCCTATTCACTGTTTGGGTCGAGATTTAAAATCCTTCCTGTTGACTTACATGGAGGACCCTGGCTACGAGCTGTAAGGAGCGTTTTTCATTCGTTAGGATTTTCTTCAAGGGATCAGCAGAGCCCGGTTTTGACTTGATTTGGGTAGTCATACATGGAAAGATGCCTTCTAAAGGCGTTGCAAGAACCATATAGCTTCTTAGTTTGCATAGAAGTCTTTTTGGTAAATTACTGTGCATACATGAATAATAGAATATAGATCGATTTCAATTTTTAAATACTTCCCCCTCTGCTGTTTGTTCTGTTGAAAGTGCTCCTTAATGTTCTTTCTACTCAGTTTTTACTATTTAGTCAATTTTTCTGTTACTTCTGATGCAGTTAATAGATTTATGAATATTTTGTCAAAATTACAGTTCTTTGAAAATACACATAAATGTGTGCTGAAAGTAGTTTCCTGGAACTAGACTCTTCTGTATGTTTAAGGAGACTCGAAGTAACTGGTAAAATATTTTTTTCCTCCTTCTCAGCTCTGGTGAATACAGTGATGCACAAAAAATGTTTGATGAATACAAGTCTAACTTACTGAGTTTAAATTTCTGCTTTATAGTAAACATCCCCTCAAAACATCTTATATATGTACTATTTTTTTTAGAACTATAGATTTCCTGTCTATCAGTAAGAGAGGATTTGGATGATAAATTTTAAAACATCAGTTGACGACTTACCATTTGGAGTAATTGGTTTCAAAAGGTATATTGGTGATACTAGATGTTTCTCCTACACATTTTGAATGTTCGTTACAGTTGCTTAAATATTAGAAGTTACAATAGGTGCAGAGGTGCTTTCACCACTTTTTTCTGAAAGGAAAGAGGGTGACAAAAGCACAGTAGTGATTAGTGATTATGATGATTATTATGGTGATGCTTCTTCCTGTACCTTTTTAAGTCTTAAAAAGAAACAGTCTTAGTATTGTCTTGTGTAACAAGCAGAGTAGTTCCTGGAAGAAACAGTAGTCACACTCTTAAAAATGGCAGCTTGAATAAAAGATCACTTTTAAATATAATACTTTAAATTATTTATGAGTGCAGACTTTCCTAAACATCATCCCTCAAATGCTATTGTGATACTTGCCAAAACATTTGTACAAAATACTCGGTTATGATAAATGTTCTGATACATGTTGTCATAGTACACTATTAGTATATCATCAACATGGAATAGTACAGTGTAAGTTGGAAATGCATTTATCATAACCGAGTGTTTTGTACGTATGTCTAAAATCTGTTCCTTTGGTCTCTCAATTCTTACGTTGGATTTCAATATATGTCTTAATTCAGTTGGTAAAATGTATATGTTGATGAAACATGACTAATTATTTTTTCATCAATGGAATGAAATCCTATTTAAAATAGGCTATACTACTAATGATATGCTGTGACAGTAAGTTGTTGTCAGTGAAGACCAAGTCTCTACTGGTGGTTTTCCAAAACTTGTGCAGGACCTGTGTGAACAGATGCTGATATATTTCCTGCAAGACAAATGGTCTTCTGTTCCCTGCAAGTGCTGAAGGTAACCCTGAAGATGACCCTGATAGGTCACCCAATATGGGGAAATACTTCTTTATTATAAAATAATAATTTTTCTCTTTTTTATAATTAAAGCTGATTTATTTCATGTTAATGGTTTTGGGTTTAATTTGTGTTTTCAGTTAAAATAGGAAAATAAAGACCTGTCTCAGACTTTTTGATAGCTTAAGCTGTCTAGAATTGAATCCTTAAAAGATTATGAGAAATATAAAAGTAAACAGGAGCAAGTCATATGCAGTGAGGGCATACGCAATTAGCCATGAATAGCAAAGATGATCATCATGAAGAATGAGTGTTCAGGCTTGTGAATCATCCCTGGGCCAATATAAGTTATGATTCAAATGATGTCTGGACTGCTTTGTGTTCAATATAGTATTTAAATGCAAATCATGTTTCATATTTTCACAGTCGTATTCTGAACGCAGCATGACTAACCAGCTAAGGAACTTCCCAACCCAGAATTATAAAGGAAGAAGTGGGGCTTTTTGCCTGGCAGTGTAATAAAAGCTGAACTTGACTGTTAATAGCCTGAAATGTGTCTTCTGGATTTCACTCTTTTTTTTGTACTGATAGGAATGTTTTTTGGATTGTTAGCATTCTTTAGTAAAATCCTAAACATGGGGTCATTTCTGTTGCTCGCACACACACACACTTAACCCCCAACATACTTGACCTGTAATGAGGAAGGCAAGCCAAGAGTTCAGACCATCATCTTCTCTTTCCTTTTCCTCCTGGTCTTTTAAGAATGCAGAGAACATGGATCACTTCCTGTTTTGAGCCTTCATCAGCCAAGTTATGTTTTGGTTAGGAAGAACAGGTGATGCTTCTGCCTATGATGGTTGGTGGGTACAGGCCAAGTATTGAACTTAAGGAAATATCCCAAAATATAATAATTGATTGAAAGCTCTTGCCAAGTTATGCATTCATTTATGGAAGAACAAAACCAAAAAAACTTTCTACCCTACTCCCCTCAGTTGAAAGGATTTAGGAAGGTCAGGTGTAGTAAAACTTAAGTGTTGCAGTCTGCTGTCCACAAAGATAACCTTCATGCAGAAGTGGATAGAAAAACTAAGAAGAAAATCCTCTCGATGCAGCTGAGGTTTAGAGAAAATTGTGTGGCCTCCTTTTGAAGGGACTAACCCTTTCACACATTGTATTAGGATAACTGATAATAGTAATGGCTTTTCATCTGGCCCTTGTTTTTTCTACATGGCTGAAAAACCCAGGAATTCAGAGGGTACCTAATCTAGATACTCTCTTTTGGTATAATTTGTTGCCAGTTTTTTCAATTACAGCTTTTTCAAATTTATTAAAAGGAGTAGTGTTACATAACTCGCAATTCACTTTCTGATACCAAAGCCCTTGTTGCTAAAACAAGCTGATGAAGAGCAGTTTTCTGTGATGGCTAATTTCTGCTCCTTCCTGCTTCCCTCTGATGACCTGAGCATGCTGATGCAGAATGAATGAAAACACGAACAGAAGGTACCAGATCTGCTGTTCCACTCACGGGCAATTCTCATTCTGTACCGACTATTTTCTTAATTTTCTTTAACCACACCCAAAGGCTTACACCAGTTTCAGACTCTCGTTATATTTGTGTGCCCACATAGCCCAGATGAGATAAAAACCAAACAAAATAGCCTCCCTTCTAGCTGCTACTGACTAGAAGTTTTGGGATTTGTTCTTAAATGCAGGTAAGGACAGGAGGATTAAATATGCTAGGAACAGAAGCCATTTTAGTAAAGCGTAGGCTTTTCACCAGGTGGAAATAATACAGTTGTTCAGTGTGATGCTGGGGAAGGCAGAAATACAATTTTTCTGCCCTATCTGGAAAGAATCAGGATAATGGGCTTTTATGATCTGAGGCCAATGGAGTATTTTTCAGTGAGTAGGAAAGGAGAGCATTAAACAACGTCTGTGAAGGATAAACACTTTTAAATCAGCAAGCCTGGAAACCTTGCCCCAAACTGAAATGGATAAGACAATCCCTGGCCCACTGATGCTCATTTTTGATAAGTTCTTAAAACACAGCACTTAGAGTGCTGATGTTTTGCCAGAGTTGAAAAAGGACAAGCAGAAGGGTATTTACAAATAAACCATTCAACTTGAAGACAAGCTTCAAACAAAACAGTGGAAAATCTGATACAGGATTCAGTCAACAGAGAAATTGAATTAATGCAAATTGGCATGGTTTGATATGTTCAAAATAAGAAGGGCCAAAAAAACCCTCACTTTATTCTCTTGAGTGTATTGATAAAGGTAACTCTATGAAAATGGTCCATTTAAGGCTGAAGTTAGTAAGCGGGGCTGCCTTACCTTAGAACAGCTGTGCTGGATTTTTGCCCCCGTCTGTCAGCCTTGCCCCTCTTTTGGAAATAGCCATGTAACAGCTGCTGAACCATCATGGTTAATGGCCCAGCGTAGTAAGTTAAACCGACACCTATTTCAGATTACCTTGGTAGTCAGGCAGTAATCTGCATTGGTTTAGGCAGCTGCCACTTGAGCAGCTGAGCCCTTCTCTCTTCCCTGGGTGGGAACCTTGCGGAGATGGGTAGGGCAGACAGCTGGGGGCAGCCCTCCCAGCTGTCCCAGCATTAGCACTAACCGCTTCCAAGTCAGAACCCCTAGACCTAGTGCTTCAAACAGTCTGTTTTTAAATGTATTTAAGATAAACTAATTGGAACAATCTCATGACCGTATGACTACTTTTTCCCTGTATTCAGTGTGATACTCCCTTGAAGAAACAATTCCCCATTAGCCACATGGGAATGAATAACAAAAATTGAGAGAATGGCAAAGAATAATGAGGACAAGATATTGGGCTGAGCACTGAATAGTTGGATAGAATTTGTGGATGTAGAAAGAAATCAGAGTTGATGGTCCTTTCCAGCCTTACTAAATGATAATCTAGATATTCATAAACTTTAGACACAGTGGTTACAAGTTGTTGTATTAAGATAAACTACATTGTGAAAAAATGTCAGTTGCAGAGCACGGGAGCACATCTGCTTACTGGTGCTGGTAGTAGAATGCTAAAGTCTGTTTGCTTATTAGAGTTGAATGTCTGATTTACTACTTTCAACAAAGTTCGTAATCCAAAATCAATTACATGAACGGGAGCCTTGGTTGACATCGGTGTTTTTTGGATTGGGCCTTCCTGAAGAAAGTAGTTTTGCCTTTTTTCCCTGATCTTGATGCCTGAAGTAGCTGTACAACTTATTTGCTAACAAAAAAAAAAAAAAAAAAAAAATCACCCTCAGGCAGTTACTGTGGGTGACAGAGTAATTATTTCATTGAAGATTTCTAAAATTGAACCGAATAGGTTGTAGTTATCTAAAAATATTATCTAGCTTTACATATAGACAGTGCCAGGTCTCTGTCTCTATTGTTGAAAAAACACACAGTAGGGTTTTACATCTCAGATTATTCTTAGCCTCTGTTCTGAAAAGACTAAGACTAATTTGTTCTACGAAAGTTGCTTTATAAAAATAGGATGCTCTGGTAACAATGGTAACTTTATGGATTAAAAGATAGTAATGGGAGCCTGAAATATTTTCATAAGGAGATTTAATTTATATCACAAATTGTTGGGGTTCTTAAGTAGAACCTCTTTAGGGCATGTTGAGCATATATGCTTATTGATTTCAAAGAAAAAAATGGTCTGATCCATAAAAAATTGTAAGTTTTCAGAGAATATTGGGGGGTTTGCCTATCTCTTGGGATTTGAGACTAAAAAGAGTACATCTAAGTTTTGATTTCTGGGCAGTTGTTACTGGTACAGTTTTCTTAATGTGGAATAATGTGTATCTAAATCTTACCAGTACATTTGCATAAATTTAGGCTTCTCATTAACTTTGATTTTAGTGTGTAAGAGAGTTATATCCAGCTTAAAATTCTTCTTTGATGTGTATATTCATGCAAACTGCTGATTCAGTAAAGCATGAAATTTCTTGTCATAATTTCACCTTGCTTTGATAGGAGATGGAGAAGAAACCTCTTAATGATGAGAAATATGGGTCAGGGAAGTAGGATACCTAGATTTTAGGTGCTTCTTACAATGAGGGAATTAAATTTCAAAGTTTCTGTATTCCAAGAGGATTATTTTGTGGAGTAAATCTAGAGAACGGGGTATCTCCAGTCCTCCCTTTGAATGATGACCACTCTGCGAAGAAGAAACGAGTTAGAGTGCAAAAGGGAGCTTGACTGAAGCCTAGTAGTGAACTTCGCAAAGGTGGGTTGTGTTGTGTGTGTCATGCATTTTCCCTTGGGCTGGGTAAAATGTGAGATGGGTATTGGAGCCCAGAGTTCTTCCTCTTCCCTTCCCCTCCACTCCTCACTGTAGTGGTTTCGTACTGGGGGGGAAGAGTTAGTTATTCTTGGTTCAGCTGAGTCTGGCCCCAATAGTCTTGAATATGTTTGTGTGTGTATGTGCAGTGGTACAGCTTCATGCTAGTGGGCCCCATGTAAGCTATTCCTTGCTTTCCTTTGGACTGGTTACTTGTTACTTCTAGTGTGAATGAGGTGATACGTGGCTGTGAACCCTGTCTGGTGGAGAGGGTCCAGAGTTTGACTCTTTCTCCAAGGCAAATCTTCTGACCACTGAGAAATTACAGGAAGGGGATGCAGCAATACAGTCAGTCTATTGATGCTACCAATTCTGTGTTTAAAAATAAAGTATTCTGTGTTTAAAAATAGTCTTTTTTTTTGTACTCAAATAATTTGGAGCATAAATCCAAGGATTAGTTTTAGGACCTGAACTCTGGTCTGATGTGTCTAGTTTGAGGCTATTGGTAAAAACCTATTTCCAGAAGAGAAGCAGATTTTAATTTTGAGGGTGTTAGCTCAATATACATGGAACAGCTTGTGTGTAATGGAGCCTTGTGATTTCACTCCACAAACTAAGTGCCTGAGAGGTTCCACAGTGTTCAGCATCAGAAAGCCTAAGCTGCTTCGTGGTCATGCATTATCTGTGTCTGTTTCCCCCATTTTAATATTAAATACTGGTGTCTTTTGTGAAATGGCTTTGGCATTTCATTATTTCAGGAGAAAAAGATACAAATAACTTGGAAATATGAAAATAATTACAGTATTCTTCTGTATTGAAGTTTAGGAATATAAGATTGGATTTCTGAACTGCTAAGTCCAGTTCCTTCCTGTGCAGTGAGCTAGGCAAGGATGTTGCTGAATTTACAACTTCTGATGGACGTTGCCAGCCTACGTTGATAAATGACCAATTTCTACCCATTTGTTCTGTGTCAGTATTGTGTTTTAACATAAGTATTTTTCACTCTCTTGAGTGTTTTCCCCTCCCTAATAAGAAAGTGTAGCTGTGTCATTCCAGCCTTAGTTGTGCTGAGGCAGCAAAGGCTTGCTTGTCAAGTCTCTTCTCATATGAGAGACCTTCTAGTCCCCTGATCACTTAGCGTCTTTCTCTGCACCCACTTAAATTCACTTTTCTTATCCATGTCTTTGTAAAATCTCTTGATAACTCTGGGGATCATGCTTCCTTTCCTTGTGCCA